TCATGTGGACAAGAAAAACCCACAAGCAGATGTGTATCCCTATTTTACAGCATTTATCAAAAAGTGTTGCAAATTACAACTCAAAAATAAACAACTGCACATGATCTCTTGTCCTTATTTCCTAATTAATTTATATAAAAAGAAAATAAAAATTATATATTTTTTTCCAAATCTGGATGCCAAATTTAAAAAATTCCACTGCAGACAGTGCCCAGTCCCACACATGGGGAGGGAACAGCTTGAAGGAAGAAGGATGAAGGTCACTGGCACACAGTTAAGCAGTGGCATTGGAGGCCCCAGGTGACACCAGTGCTAGTGACAAACCATCACACTTGTCATTAGTCCCACAGCAAGAAAATGACAGGCACATGGAGATGCTGGCTTAGGGAGGAATTGACAGGCAAGACTTTGGAATTTGTAAACCAAATTCCTGCTCATGACAGGTGATGAAACCTAAATTTTTGTAAATGTGTTTCAAGTCTCTTTCCCCGTCATCCCCTCATTTAGGCAATAAAATAACCTAATTATTTTCTGTTCAGTTTTGTAAAGCTGTTTTGAAGTCATTATGGGAGCATTCACATTGAAAACATAACAGGGAGTTGTGTTCATATGAAATTACTTTCTCATTGTGTTTTACAAATTGCATGGAAAATCTTCCATCTATCCCAGATTTACCTCACATTTTGTTTTCTGAAGAAAATTTCCCTTCTTGATCAAAGCTTGAGGGAGCAGTCACTGAATAATAGAAAGGCTGGGGTTGGAAGGGACATTAAAGATCATCTGTTTCCTAACAATACTGCATCAAACCTAAACTGTGAGAATGTTTGGTGTCACCATGCTGGAATGGAAGTCCCCACTTGCTCAAGGCACCCAGCAGCTGCTGAGCTGTGCTGGCTTTGGTACAGGACACCAGACACCTGAGTTAAGAGGCCAGGACTCTGGAGCAGACAAGGACTAGAAGGAAAATTTAAGGCTGACTGCCAAGGGGAAACAGATGGTCTGGAAGTCCTCAGCTTTCCTCTCTCCCTGTGAGGAGTATCACAGGATTTAAAGTCCTGGTGCAAAAAGTCATTCCATAAGCATCTTAGAATCATAGAAACCTAGGATGACTCAGGTTGGGAGGGACCGTAAAGGTCATCTCATTCCAATCCCTCTGCCATGTACAGGGACACTTTCCACTAGACCAGGTTGCTCCAAGCCCTGTCCAACTTTGACACTGAAAGTTCCCAGGGATGGGGCATCTACCACCCCTCCGGGTAACCTGTCAGTGTTTCACAACTATCATCATAAAAAACCTTCTCCTTACACTTACTCTGAATCAACCACCCTTTTGTTTTGTCCTACCACCACAGACTCTGTTAAATAAATGTCTGACCCCCTCCTTCACCCACTGCAAACCTTGAAGAGGCTGAAGTAGCACCTTTGAGGGGAAGCACCTTTGGCTCGGCAGCCACAGCTCACGATTAATGGTTTCTGCTCACAGGAGCCAGGTACGAGCTGTTTGCTGGCTGTAAATCTCCCGTTACAGCCTCCTCTGCCATACAGCACACATGGATTAATAGCAGCTTTCTACTTTTGAGGTTACAGCTGATCCAAAAGTCCCCAGAAGAAAGGGCGACTTTCCTAAGCAGCATGACTGACAAGACGGCGAAGAGGGAGTTTATTCAGAGCATTATCTAATTCATTCCCCAGTGAAGGAAACTCATCTACTTTTGAGACTTAAAACTTCTAAAGAAAACTGCTATGATCTAAAGAGATTGGCCATAAAACTATTTGTATTGAAAACTTAGCCAGAATGCCTTTAGTGAACTTCATTCATTAACATTCTTCCTGGCAAGGTTTCCGTATCTCAGCGTTCATTTTATACTTTAATTTGGTTAGTAGGTCTTTGTTTAATCGTCCTATTGAAAGGAGAACAAAGAAGGTTTAGGTGATACAGTGAAGTAATACACTATATTTTATCTCTGTAAAGCCCAGACAAAGTCAGCAGGCTCTGATACCCTCCGATTTGGCTTCTTTTTTTATTCCCTTTCTCTTCCAGGACATTTGGAATCACAAATCAGTTGCAGAGCATAAAGATCTTCACTGTACTTAGCTGTGGACACCTTCAGAAGAGAAACACCTTGTCAAGCAGAGAAATGATGCTCTGAGCACAACATACAGCCCCAAAGGAAGATTATCTTGGGAAAAGTGCATTCCCATTACTTCAGGGATGGATGCTTTGCTTTTATATCTATGTCCTCCAATAAAAATCAGTAGTCAAGATAGTTTCTTCAATTTCTGAGCTCTGTGCTTACTGTCTCGATATCAACTTCATGTTTTTTTCTGGATGCAAAACTCATTAACAAGCTGCAATTTTGCCTAATGACTAACCTGCTGTACAGCCAGCACCGAGCATAGCGACCCACAGGCACAGGCTGCCCTGGAGGAGGATTTACAGGATAAAAAGGATAAAAAACTCTCCAAACGAAGCTGCTCCCCAGCCCAAACACCGGCCGTGTGAGTGGGCAGCTCCTGGGCTGCTGTAAACTGACACAGCTCCAACTGACTCCCAACTGACTCCAGATAAAAATCTGGCCCCAGAGTAACGGCAGGATCCTAGAAGCTTTTCTCACGGAATAGTTTTTATGCTCTTTTCTTGAATATTTACAACCCATCCGAAATGTCCTGCTTAAATCCACTACACACTGCGCATCCATAAAGGAGGAAGATTGTACCTGTCTACTCTTTATAGTGCAGATGATGGTGAGCTGTCTCCTTACTGAAAACTAATTCTTCCTAAACTCTGCACCAGTTCTACTCAAACCACCCAGAGGCAGCACCCCAAACTGATGCTCCTCTTGATGAAGCTGCATTTCAAGGCAGGAAAACCATTCAGAGATTTGGATGCTCTCCCATGACATCCAGTGAGTAAACCAACCTTCCGCCCACCCACCGTGCCCCCTTCTCATGGATGGTGGTGTCCAAAACACGAATCATAAAAGGATTCAGATGAACACAAATCCCACCCCTAAAATCAAGCAGTGACTTTAGGAAGCAGTCCCAACTGCTCCCTAACTTTCCATACACAACATTTATGGAGTAAGCAACCTGTGAAGTTACCAGCAGCAAATACAAAGGTCTGGGGAATGAGCTTGCTCAGCGCTGGGTGGGGCCAGGGTCTGTAAAGAAGGTCCAAGCCACATATCCAAGCTGCTCAGGGATAACCATTTCTGGAATGATTATTCATTTATGCCACTGATTCCTGATCCACACCAGCATAAGTGAAAGGGAGGCAGGCTCAGCACCAAGCGTGGTTTCAAACTGATGACCCAGAGGTGAAGGGCCCCTTCTCCCATTACTAATCCCCTCAGCAACACAAGCCTCCTGAAAATGATGCTTTGGTTTTATTGCCACAGGGGTCATTTATAAAATCATAAAATCCAGGTTAAGAAACCAACCCAACAGCAGCAAGGCCAAGCATGCAGAGAAAGAGCTGAACAGACATCGAACGGGACAAGTTCAGCCCTCCCATGGCATCCTGAGTAATTCAGCTGATTAAACATGAGAAGTTCTGATTCATGGAGAGGAGGAGGAAATGCATAAACAACTTACCAAAAGCTAATTTCTTTATTATTGCAACCAGAAATGACCAAAGACGGTGTATTTTGTATGACTGCACATTACATGTGGAAAAACCCAAAAATCAGCATTGCAATATCCAACAATTCAAAATAAAATAGAACAAAAAAATCAAACCCAAGAACTTTCTTGACAGGTAATTAACAGGGACGGAATATAAATGAGATGGCATTGAACAAAGCAGGTAACAGTGCACTTTTAATAAACCAATTTCATCCATATCTCCACTGATTTGCAATTTAACAGTTCTATCAGCAAAGCCTCATTTCCCTAACTAGACTGGTACTTTTAAAAACATGACTAATTCACTCTCATTAATATCAATTTGGATGCATTTAAAAAATAACTCATAATATCTGCACAACAGGCTAAAGGACAGTATTTCTCCAACATATGATGTTCTCACTGCATTGGTTTAAAATACAAATATCCCCAAATTAACCAATGCAATCTAAAATTTATTAGAAAACAAAAGGCATAAATTTTTTTAAAGATTTATTCTTATTTAGCTCTGAGACCCATTGCACTACAATATCAAACACTTTTATTTCAGTTTCTCTGCACCTTCCCCTCGCATTTTCCACGGGGAATGTGACTGGGATTCAGTTTACTGGTCTTTTCAAGGGGATGCACAAAGAGAAGAATACACCTGCACCTCTTCTACCTAAATATGATGCTTTTGGCAAACTCACTAACCACTTGTTTAAAAAAACAAAAACCAAGAAAAAAAAGGAGAAAAAGGGGAAAGAAGTCCATCCCAGCTACAGATTAACATGCTGTAGCTGCCACCAGAAGTGCAGAGCCCCTTGGCCTAAGCTCCCAATTCAGAAGGCAGTTAAGCACATGTATAACCAAGTGTGGGAACAGGCTCCTTGAAGGCAATAGGATTACTCACTTCTTAAGAAGTTACCACATGTTTAAGTATCTGAATCGAGGCCTAATTACGGTGCTGGCCACCTCCTCGTGCACGCACAGCTGGGGCAGAGCTCACCAATCCCTCACAGCCATGAGGACAGGCGTTTGTCACACGGGCTTTTAGTAGCTGCTAGGTTTGTACTCTTGGGCAAACGACAACAAAAATCCTCAAGCCCTAAAAAATAATTAAAAAAAATTACTTTATAAATATCAGGTATTTACACGTGTGAAAATCTTTTAATGGGAAGTGTTTTTACACACTGATGAAATGTACAAGCAATGAAAAGGAACGTTGACAAAGACTTTAAAAAAAAAAAACAAAAAACAAAAATCAAAGTATAAAATATATTACAGGTCCACCAAAAGAAATTCACACAGAAGAAAAAAACTGACACAATAGAAACTTTCTTTTTAAAAATAGAAGATATATCACAAAAGCTTGAACATGTTTATTTTATGTTAGTACTAAAAATCAAGGAAAAAAGCTTCATATATTCTCATCACAAAAATATTTACCAGCCACTTTTTATTTCCACATTATGATTATCTGGCTCAGCAAGAGTCGAGGCTGAACTGTATCCAAACTACAGAAATCATTCCAGAAGGTTGTCTCAGTTTACAACTTACTGCAATTTACATTTTCTCCTCCTCTCAGCACCTTACTGCAAAGGTTCAAGAGGGATTAATAAGAAATCGAGAAAGAAGAGGACAGATATCTGTATTTACAACATTCATCCATGTTGCTGCCGAGCCACAGGAGCGGGAGCGGTCCCAGGAACCACCGAAGTCTTCACAGCGCTCTGTGCAAATTCCCCTTGGCAGAGGAAAGAAATGGCATCAGAATGTACCAAAATCCAATGCCCCGGGCTCGGACGGTCTGTGAAACCCAACAGCCCCTGACCAAGGGCATCTCCTCGCCCCTGATTCACTGCAGAGACACAACCCTGGCAGCCGCGGGGGGACGCGGGCAGGGTGGATCCCTCCTGCAGCCGAGTCGGGGCGGGAGGTGCCGCGGTGACCGCACAACTTCAGTCCCCTGCCAAGCCTTCAGTGCGCCCTGTGCTTCCTCTTCTTGTGTTTTTTATCCTTCCTTTTGTTGGCACACTTGGAGCAGAACCACTGCATCTCTTCTGGGGGTGCAGCCGTAAGCCCAACACAAGGCCTGTGAAGGACAGGAAAATATCACATCATCTCAGTGGATTAACATTGTTTTTGTTTCTTACCCCAAAAAATGCAACTTTCCAGTGGGAGACTAGATCTGGCCCTTGAATTAATATTGCAATTATCATTATCTTAATGAATATAATGATCAAAACCTAAAAAAACCTAAAAAACAATAATCAAAGTCTATTCAAAGCCTTGCTTTGAAACAAAAGAGAAATATCAAAAGGATACTCAGATAAAAAATGTTATTTTAGTAGAAAATATGAGTGCACTTTCAGGTGTAATAGACTAGACTTAAAATAATTTCAAATGCTTCTTTAATGCAGCTGCAAAAACCCTTATGATTTTACGTAGCTTTTAAAAAAAAATTCCTAAAAAGTGATTAATTTCCCCTAACCTTTTTATAAGAGCTGACATTTATATTACTGTTCATACAATGCTTCATAATTTGAACTGTCTATCTGTATACACTGTGCTCATAATCCTGTAGTTCTCACAAAATTACCAGAATCAGCAATATTTCCCAGCAGTTTCAAAAACAACCGTTATCACCAATGCCCATTAATTAAAAAGTAACTCTCCTTCACAGCTTAAAATCTTCCTTTTCAAATTTCAGAGCAACAGAGATAAAAATATCTTCCAGATTATTAAATTGGACACAGTAAAGCTATTTAAATATTCCCAACGTCACGAACTATTAGAAAAAAAAAGGTTTTTTAATAATATAGCCCCAATCTGCCAGGCACTGGCAGAGCAGGATGGATGAGAGGAACTTACCAGTGATACCAATCATCGCAGTCATCACAACCTATCATTGGACTGCCATCATCTGGCTTGTTACAGCCAGGACAGATCCAGATCTGGTTACCCCACTCGTCTCGGATCTGGTGCAAAGAAAAGCAAAGTTAGCTGGTTTTCAGGGCTAAGCAGGCAGGAAAATTGACATTAAAAAAAAACAACAAAAAAAAAAGGTTTCCTGCTTATCTGGCTAAGCCATTCAGCAGCCCCTGTTGTTATGTGTGAATTCTCTGATCATGAGAGCTCAGTGTTACGTCTTAATTGATTTTCCTACACTGCTCATGATGACAAAATCATGTATTTTCCTGCATTGTCCCGTAAACCAGTAAAGCCAGTTACACCACCCGACCTAAGCATGGGCATTCACACACAGAGCCAGGGCTTAAGGACACAATTCCCTCTCTGTCTATACTTTTAAAATTCGACCCTGCTAATGGCAAGCAGGAGCCACGGCAGCCTCCTGCGTAAGATAACAGTTCTTATGTGCATGTAAAATATACAGCGCTGTGTGTATATATTGCTGCATTACTTATTAGCCAAAGTCTTCAACTCCAAGGAGCTGATAAGATCAGGATATAAAAAAGTTGTTACTGAGTAACTTTCCATTCCCCTTATGACATTTATGTCGCAGTACAATTTACTAAAGGGTAAATGAAACAAGAAAGGCAGATCATTTACAGTACTGGGCAGCTGCTCACCGGGTTCATCATATGCATTTTTTTAATGTTTATATCCTGCTTGACCCATTGTTTGTATTTTTAGATTTCCAGTGGTTCTTGAACAGCTCTTTGCTAAAAACATACACGCAAAATGTCACAGAATCCACCTAAAGGAGTGCAATTAACAATACAAAATGTCTGGGGCATTACCCTGACTCCATCACTCCTTTATGAAGATTTGCACATTATCGTTGTATCTCAAAAACAGAAACTGTTTTGTTCTCAGCTTTTGTACATTTACACGTATCTCAGGCAATAACTTTTTGCTATCTGTACAGCTTACAAAAATGATATTAAAAAGTAGCAGATAAAAAGCCCCAAATGTTCTTAGTAAAAAAAAAAAGCCACTACACGGTGGTCTGTACATCTTACACCACTTCCTGAAAAATCAATAGGAATGTACCAGAGCTGCAACCAACACATCACTCTTCCCTGATTCCTCTTAAAGCCCTGAATGCTTCTGTGGTTTAAAACCCCAAAATACAAGTCCTAGGAATACTAACCAGGGAACAATCCCCTTCCCAACAGAGATATGGAGTAGGCACCGTCATAAAACTAACTCAATTTCCAAGCTGATTGATTGCAATAATCATTCCTATCTACCATCTAATCTCACATCTGCAAAGTAATTTTAAGTTGCTGGAGAAGCATCTGCTCCCCAGGTGAAGCATCTGGGCTCAGAGTGAAGAGGTCCAGAGGCATTTAGGTGGGATAACCCTGCTGAAGAGTGAGGGGATGTTGTGCCATGGTGCTGCAGAGAAGGGATGCTGTGGGATGTTAGGCTGAGGGCTACAAAACCTGCCTGGACACCTGGCTGCACCCCCGTCATCCCCCAGCACAGGCACCCCATTTCTGGTGCTGCCTGTTTCGGGCCTTGCCAGGCGTAGGCAGCACTGACAGATGTTGCCCTATCAGAAAACAGACACCTTAACTTTTCCAAACTTAGTTTTTCAGGTATATTTTTCCCCCCCTGCAGAATGCCTGCCTCAGGCTCTCAGGGGCTGGAGGGGGCAGGGTGGTCTATAATTACAGAAACCTCTGCCTGTTTGTTAAACAAGAACTTGGGCTGCTGAATAAGGATATTAAAAATATTGCATAACTTCTCATTCCTTAATGAGCCAAGGGTCATGCAAGGAGGGACAGAGTGGGATTGCTGACTGCTGTGCTAGTACAAACCACTGAGAACTAATGAGCAGAGCACATGGACTGAGATGCTATCCAACAGGGAGATGTGTATCCTTTCTTTTTTGAACTATAAAATCACTCTCCTCTCCTCCCCTGCAGAAGGGAGCTGTGCACCTCTGTCACACTGGCTCCACTCTTATCTCTAGAACAGCTTTCCCATGTGATCTGAGAAAAATCATTCTGTCTCCTAGATTTCCTTCATACGAGAGGCTAATAGTTATTAATCATTTTCTTCTTCCCCAACCTCTCTCTGAGCATTTTGACTTATAAACCCGTCACATCAGGTGTCTCTTTGCATGTGCACATAGTTGGGTCCTAATGCAGCAAAGCCCTGGTTTCAACTATAATGTTGTAAAACATCACTTGTCACAAGGGCCTGGCGTGATAGGACAAAATGGAATGGTCTTAAGTTGAAGAGAAGTAGGTTTAGATTGTATATTATGAAAAAAATATTTACAATAAGGGTGGTGAGGCACTGTACAGGTTGTCCAGAGAGGTGGTGGACTTCCTGTCCCTGGAACTGTTCAAGACCAGATTGGATGGGGCTCTGAAGAACCTGATCCAGTGGAAGGTGTCCCTGCCTGTGGTAGGAGTGTTGGATCAAGATGGTCTTTAAGGCTCCTTCCAATCCAAACCATTCTGTGATGATCTATGGTTTTGTGAAAAGAAAAAATAACCTGGAGCCTCCATATCCTCTGAATTCTTCATTAAGGTGCTAAGAGTGTTACCACTGGAAGTATCAAGGTAAAGTGCTAGGTTTTTCTTTCTAAAACTAACGTAATCTCTAAATTATTTCTTTTCGTAATTACAGAAGAAAATGGGATGTAGTGGAGCATTTAGGAAGTGCTTCTCTCTTAAAGGGAGCTACTGTAATAATAACAATGACAATAATAATAGTGACTGTAATAATAAGAGTGACAGTGGGTTTACACCTGTGATACCAAAAAGTGAGGCTGTCCTGCACCCTAAGGATATGCAGAGCCTGTGTGACATTGTCCAGTGCTGTAACTAACTCAGGAGTGAAATGTATCATCTGCTTAAATAGAGACCAGTAACATGATACAGCACTTTCAGTCCAGCAGGGAAGCACCTTTCTATTAGAAATGCACAGTAAATTTATATTAGAAATTAATACTAAAACAGGAATCATTAAACTTTAAAAAAAATAAAAATCATGCGTATGTTGCAATTCAAGCATGGCAAACTCTGTAATAAAAGTAAGCTTTAGGTGTTTTAAATGGTGAGATTTTTAAACTGCAGCTAAACAAGGTGTCACCAATCAAGCTGGAATTTAGCCAGGACAGGGAAGATAACAACACTACTACCCTTGTGCTGCTTTTCAAGGATCAGGAATGCTCAGGACTTCATTTCACACAGCATCTAAAGCAGAAATTCTCAGCAGCACAGCAAGCCTTGTCCTACTCAGACAAATATCCACGTTCTTTTAGGGAATGCAGTTCCTACACCATATTACACAAGAGACTTTTCCAAAAGAATGAAGAATGCTGCCAGACAGAGGCCAAGTTCAGAGCACGTGTCAAACACACAAATCAAGTGTAGACTAATGAACAATCTACAGACTTCTGAGATGCACAAACATCTGCAATTTCTCTATGCTGAGGAAACCAGGAAAGAGATTAGTGCACCCTACACATTTCAAATGAGGGCTAAGTCAAGTTCTTGATGTTATATGAGGGTTTTGTACTTTACCTGACTGACAGAAAAATCTATGGTGAGTCTGACATTTGAGGTTTCAATTCAGCACTTTTGAAAGCACCTATAAAAAACCTCCACCTCCAAAAATAAGTGGTCTAGCTCAGTTAGCAGAAAATATCATATGGGATAGAGCTGGACTTGTTAGAAAGAACTTAACTTTGGAATGGGAACGAATGAAAAATTCAGTCCAAGCTGTAGTGTTTAAGTTATTAACCCCTCAAAACGTGTGTGGAAACAAGGGGTGGATAAACAGAAGTTTCACAGACAGCAACATCAGGAATCCAAGAACCATCAGTCTGAGAGGATGAGCTACCCAGGAGCTCACCAATTCCAGAGAGGAATGCCCCTGGCGCTGGGACAGAGCATGGCATTTGTTACCTACCACGTAAGTACTGACGGTCTCGGTCACCACGCTCCGAACGGGAGCTTTGGAGCCTCCAGCTGCTGACACAGCTGGAGAGGGTGGTGGGATCAGGACTGGTGAGATGGTAGCCTGTGGAGGAGGAGGAGCTGGAGCCGGAGGAGGGGTGACGTGAACGGGAGCTGGCACCGGTGACGGCACAGGCGGAGGTGTTTTGGGCCGCACCGCGGGAGCGGAAGGTTTGCCCTCTGGAGCTGACACCACTTTGCTGATGACTCTGTAGGACCAACATTGACAATTGTTAGAGCTGATGGGAGAGAAAGCAAAGATCAATCACCGATTAGAGAGAGAGAAAATACAGAGCAGCTAATTCACGTCACCCTGGAGTCACCAAAGAGGCTGTTTCAACCCCACTGCTGCCATTGCTGCACCCATCCATTTACAGGATAAAGCACAGAGCCATTACAAAGTGAATGCCAGGACAGGCTGAGCCAGTCTGTACCTCACTGTTGTATAAATATTCTCTGTGGCTTCGCTAAACCTCGTTTCGTTAAGTTTTATTGCATTAGCTCAATTTGTGGGAAATATTAGAAAGGAAAGTTAATCAGCTGTGAACAGCACTGATTTTAATCTTCAAACTGAGAGACAATATCATCCTGTTAAGATCCTACATTAGGGGGTTCTGCAAATATTTGCTAGTTTGGTATTTCTTTCCCCAAATGTTTATGAAATCAGCAGTGGATCTAGTCAGGACAAATAAATGACGCACGCTATACACTCAGCAGTTAAAATATTGCTACTTACTGGAGTAGCTGAAGTAGACAGGATGTAGCTCTAGTAAATACACTGTATAGAACAATCTTGCCCAGGAAGGGGGATACATAGAAGACCTAACATTTATTAATGACTGTTGATACACAGTGCTATTGATGTGCGTGCAATTTCACAGACAAGCCAGAAAAAGCCCTTACTATAAGGCTCTAGGTCAGAAAAATAAAGAGAAGGAAAAAGAAGTTTTAAAAAAACAGAACAAAAAACCCCCCAAAAAACCCCAATACCTCAAACAAAATATAGGTCTATCTTTTTTACCACATTTTGGTAAATCATTTAACTAATTTACTTATATTTGAATGGTAACTGTGGGAGTGCAATTAATTTGTGACAGGACTGTACAAAGAGGGTGATTTAAAGAAAGGTTAGATATTCCAGGGACAAAGTTCACTTAAGAAAGTAAAAAATGCAGACATCAGTAGAGAAACCCTTACGAAAATCAAATTGCAATGACTCCTGAGAACCAGGAATGGCCAGCTCCACTGTCAACGGGAATTCTAAGTTCACCTTTAGAGTTTATTGCAACTCTGATACTCCAAAGGCAGTATCACTAGGATTAGAGACATTGTCTGAATTTCAAGTAAATAAAATTCCAAGCCATTATTTGAGAAATGGAATTGGAATTATACAGTATGTAATACCTTGCTGTGATAATGGTGTTTTTTCTCACAAGACTTGCACTACAAAATCAGAACAATAGCAAGTTATAGTAAAGCACACTTAGTAAAAGGAAACAAGAGCAAGGAGTTTGGTACTCCTGCCTAATCCCCAGCTGCAGCCTCACTTCTATGAACAAACAGGAGAAGAAAATCAAAGAGTGGAATCTAAAGGGTGATAGATGATTCTTCCATCAGCAACACTGAAGACATTCACACTACATGTCCCAGTGATTGCTAATGTGGGGCTCAGGCTCTGTATATGTGTCACTAAGGTGCTAGACTGTGAGTCAAAGCGCAGGAGTCTCAAGTTATGTTGCCTATGACTTGCAGAAGGAAGGAAGTCCTACTGTCAGGCCATCGTGGGAACAACCTACACATCAAAACCAGCCTCTTTCCCCTGTTAGTGGGGAACATCCAAAACCCCACTGTTATCCCCCGCCAAGAAAGTTTTCTGTTTGGCTTATGATGTGTTTCTGGTTCAGTGAAAGTCCCAGTGTGTGGCTCCTGGGGCTCCTGCCAGACTGGCTATGCCCAACTCAGATGCTTCTTGTGTCTTCCCCATTCCACAGGCAGTGCTGGCTCCCAACGCTGAATGCCTAAGACCTTGGTTGGACCATGATTTGTGAAGTTATCCTCGTGACTGAAGAGCCACCCCTCAGTAAACAAACTGTTAGCTATAATAAAAGTGATAGGGGCAGTCAGCAAAATATTGGCACAGCAGAAGTCATTTGGATGCTTTCAAACATCATTGCCCCTTCTTTCCCTGCCACCCTGTCCTACCTCCTGCAATAAACAAAGTCCTGCTAGGAGTTATTCAGGGAGTCAACCCTCCCCAAGTCTAGACTAAGAAATCTATTAGCTAATAGGGCTTTAAACACAACTCTGCACACAGTGTAAACAGTTTGAGAGAAGTATTAGCTAATACAATTTGAATAAAAGTGACCATGCCCAGCTAACATATGAAATTAAATTACAGAGTTTCTTGGTCCAAAGCCAGGTTCTCCTCCTGCACAGGGTCTTCGAAGCCACTCTGCTAATACCTGCAGAAGCTGCAAGGAACACCACATGTGAAATCTTCCAAAACTACAAATATTCATTAGCGAGCAACACACACTCATCAATTGGCTGGCGTGCCTGATGTGTGCAATTAGGACGTGTTCAGTATATAGGGCAGCTTGTTTATCTTGATTTTAGAGCTCAGTTATCAAAACAGGAGATCGGCATTTCGGACCACGCTTGGGCCTACCACTCCCTTGGGCTAATGAAGTTCAGAGACTTTAGACTCCAGAGTGGAGAAATGAATGGTTTTGTGCTACACCATTAGAGGTGATGGAGTAATCTCAGCGAGGGTGGTTTAGCCTGTCCTGAAGAAGGGGCTGCACACATGGCAATATGGAGGTGGGGAGAAATCAAAGGGAAATAGCAGTCCCACGACTAATAATTACTGTTACTTCAGACTTGGAGAGAAACCTGATATCAAAACACTATGTAAATGATGGCAAGATTTATAAGCTCTGTTTTATAGATAGGAAAATTGAGGCACAGAGCACACTGCAAGTAGGCAGCTCCCACTGCAGCAGAGCTTCAGTCCACCTGGTACCTGAGTCCTGCTGGGATTTAAACTCTTCCTTGGGACATCACCACACATATATTGTTACCTTATTTCCCAAATGTGTTTTCATCTGTCCAAAATCATCACTTAGTCTGAAAGTACAACATTATATAAAACAAATTTTCTCCTCCTTCTCCACACCAATCCCAGAACTCTAAAACTGAGGTTGAATGAGTATTTTTTTAAGAAATCAACCACCACCAAAACAATCAGAGTCCTGAGACAAGAACTCCATTTCTCTGCAGACTGCTTGCCCGGCAATGTAGCACAAACAGATTCTACACTGAAAGATAAAAGGTCAATTAAAAGTTGTTTTTGAATCAAAACAGTTCCTCCAGAATAAATGGGTGTGAGAAAACCTTTGGAATAGATGTGGTAATAAGAGCCTCCATAAATTGTGACTACAGGTCACCAACCACTCCCTTTGAAAAAAAAAACAGAATTAATGTAAATACTGTGTATTTGGTTGTGTCCAATCTAAATTCACTTTAGATTTCTGTCTAAATGCCAGGAGGAGCTGTCCTGCTCACAGAACCTCAGTGTATTTATCATTGAACACATGTATTGATTTGTCACAGAGTGCCCAGTAGTAAGCAAGAAAACATATCTAGAAGTAATAAAAAGGGGAAAAACCTAAGGGATGTGAAATTTAAAGTGGAAGGACAGAAGGACAGAGAAATCCTCAAATACCATGATTACCAATTATTTTTCCATGTTGTTTTTTAATAACCCCTTTGGTGAAAGAGCAGAGCATAAAGCTTCCTGACAAAGGTAATTTTAAGTTATTTTTCTTCCTCAGAATCTGTTCCAGTGCAAACAGCATTTCAACCCAATATGAGAACTTAAGGAGATCATCCATTGCCATTTCTGCTCAACTACACCAAGGCTGTACTGGGCCAAGACAGTAGTGTGTAATATCTGAATCTCAGCTGAGGAGTCAGATCTCATGGAATCAAAGAATGGTTGGGTTGGAAGGGACACCAAAGATCTTCCAGTCCCAACCCCTCTGCCATGGGCAGGGACATCTTCCTCTAGACCAGGTTTTTCAGAGCCCATCATGAATGATCTTGAACACTTCCAGGGATAGGGAGTCCACCACCTCCCTGGGCAACCTGTGCCAGTGTCTCACCACCCTTACAGTAAAGAGTCAGTGCTCATCTACTGGTTTAAAACTGTGTCCAACACTGCTCCAAGGGAAGGAAGAAAATAAAGCTTCAGTTAAGTTTTTCTGTTTCTCAGTAGGGTAGAGTGAATGAAAACCCTTTTTAATCATCACTCTGGGGCAATCACCTTGTTCACAGCTGTAGCTCCAAACCCAAACAGGATGAACACCAAGTGTCAGCTTGCAGGCAAAGTGCAAATTCTACCAAGATTTAAAGTGTTGCAACAGGTCAGTTGGTTTCTAATCGGCTCTAAGTGGCAGAAGCTGTAACATGCTACATCTGGAGCAAAATGAAGCTCCAAGGTGTGAAATGGTTTCCTATCTTTGGAAGTAATTTATTTGATTTCATTCTGATCCTTACGGCTGAAAGCCCCATTGACTGCTTCACCTGAACACAGGGGAAAGACGTGCAGCAAAAAGAAATGGCTTTTCAAAAACAGGATATGGGCCACAGGACAGAATGATTGCTATGGGAAATGAACTCCAAAAAAATGATGTATCAATACTTTGAAAGGTCTAGTAAAAAAATCACAGTAATCTTTGTTTCTCAGAGGCAGAGCTCCCAAGAAGCTGTTTTTCTGCCCAGAGGAAAAAAGTAACATTTGAGAAGTCCTAATTCTTTTCCAAACCCATGACCCATTATTAAGCAAGGAGAAGGAGCTAAATGGGTCTCTAATGTGTAGGAAAATGACACTATCAACTGCACTGACATAACTGAAACTGGTGCAATTCACTTGGATTATCAATCATCATATTATCTATTAGCTTTGACATTCTCTTATTTATATAATTCCTCGATGCTAGAAAGTGATGCAACTATTTTGTTACTGAAAAATCTCACACCTGGAACTGAGATTGTTGTACCAGAAAAAACCTAAACACTCTAAGGTCTGTGGCTAAGAGTGTCAAAAACACCTACGGAAATCAGGAAATTTCCATATGGTTTGGATTCTTCAAAGATAAGAGGTGATTCTGAACATTTTATTCCAGCCCTGGAGGAGAATCAGTGTGAT